TGTTGTAACTTGAGTGCGAATCTGTGATTGAGTATCAGATGTAAGCAGTGGGAAACACTGTGTGTGTGCTTGAGTTACCCTTGTATTCGGAAATATAATATAAGGTTGGGAATTTCCCGTATATGTTGTGCATTGACTCTCTTTAGCCTCTGTTGTCTTATGTTTGTGATTTGTAACAGGGGAAACGCACAAGTTGAGGAAGGCTTACAAGTGCTCGGTGCACTTGTGCCGCACAGTGCCTAGAGACGAAATTAGGCCCTGTGACAACAACCACCATCAAAAAGTCCTTTAGCTACTCAGTAAACACAAAGATGAACCCGCAAGGCTTCACAAACACGCTAATCTCCCGTAATCAAGTACAATACATAATTGGAGATGCTAATTCGAATAAATCTTAAATCAACAAATTAGCACTACGTTGTAAAATTAAAGCATCAACACTCACCAAAATAAGGAACTTTGGCAATAGTTTCCAATACAAAGAACCTAGCATAATCTCTTTCACAGTACAAAGTATCAAGAATTTTTATCACCAAATCCTGAAATGATTAAGAGAGTCCATAGTCAAACACCAAAAGCCTCAATAAGCATAAAAAGAAAAATCAGAGAAAATTATAATATACTGTAAGAAAAAAAGCAAAGAAAAATTGAGAAAACGTACGAATTATCATCGTAACCCATTATGGTGATGAACTGCGACAAATAGATTGTTCAAGAAAAATAAGAAAAAAAGCAAAGAAAATTTGAGAAAACTTACAGATCATAGTTGTAACCCATTACAGTGATGAACATCAACAGATAGATTGTTCAAGAAAAAATAAGAAAAAAAGTAAAGAAAATTTGAGAAAACTTATGGATCGTTGTCGTAACCCATTGCGGTGATGAACTGCGACAGATAGATTGTTCAAGAAAAATAAGAAAAATTAAGAAAACTTACGGATCGTCGTCATAACCCATTGCAATGATGAACTGTGACAGATAAATTATTCAAGAAAAATAAGAAAAAAAAGCAAAGAAAAATTGAGAAAACTTACGAATTGAGTCTCAATCTTGATACTTCATTTAAATGTGAATATGGAGTGAAGCATTTGTATTTGAATATGAATGTGAATGTGAATGTGAACGTGAACGTGAAGAGTCTATATTTATGTAAAATTAATGCTTCAGGATAGATAGATATTTTATTTAGAACTTTGGAATATCAATACGGCAATTGATATCTATCTACGTGTCAAACAACCAAATGAGTGACTCAACTTTATATAGATATATATAGATAGATAGATGTCAGGGGCGAATCCGTTTTTTTTTTTTTAATATTAATATGTATAATTTATATAGTTTAGCCCACCCTAATAAAAATATTAATGAACAAAAATATTAATATATAATTAATTTTTACTTTGGTCCACCCTAACAGAAATTTCTGGATCCGCTACTGGATAGATGTACTTGTTATTAATGTATATTTTTGGAATACCAATGCAATGCACCTATATTATTATTATTATTATTATTATTATTATTATTAATTATTAATACATATCTCATTTTTTTAATTAATTAATAATTATAGATGAAACAATAAATATCAATCCAACGTGTTAAGATAGAGTAATTTGATTGACTTATCAATTCAATGTATCAAAATGAAACAATTCTATCACTTCAAAAAAATGTGTATATATATATATATATATATATACACTTATGATTGTGACTTCAAATTCATATCAAAGAAGAGAAAATCTATTATATAAATTGCTGGTACTATCAGCCATTTATGTATTGACAGTTGTCAGTTTAATTTAAAAAAGTTAATAACAGTAAGGATCAAAATAAAGCATGATAAGGATTAAATTAAAATAAATCAAAACTAACTAAACTAAACCAATGGCGGTGACAAATAGCTTTCTCTTTGCTTTTCCAGCCAAAGCTACAACCTTTTCGGTTACTCGTTTCTTCTGTAAATTTTAGACAGATATTGCAAAAAAGATCAGAAGAGCAAATGCGACTCATTTTCATGAAGAAAGGAGCCAAACGTTAATTTTAAGTAGGACAAACCCATTTCCAGATCAACCGAAGTTACAGTAGGATTAGTTTTCATTATTTTGCCGCCAAAAAGAGAAAGATTAGTTTGAAATGGATTGGATTGATCGTGTGTTTGCTCCCAAAAAAAAATTGAAACTGGGTAATTGGGAAAATAGAGAGGCGGTGGAGATGATGATGGTGGAGGTGGAGGCGGTGGCGATGGCGATGGCGGAGGCAGTGAGTGACGTTGGCTGTGGCTGAGTGGGAAACTTAAATCTGAAAATGGGCGGATCAAAAAGTGGAAAATGGATCAGGGTTTGATTGATTTTATGTTTGTTCCAGAAAAGACTGAAACTATGTAACTGGGAAAATAGAGAGTCAGTGGTGATTGTGATGGTGGAGGTAGAGGTGGAGGCGATGGCGATGGTGGGTGGCGTTGGTTGTACTCGGTTTTATTGTAGATTTTCTCTATCAAAGAATGGTGTTTTTGGTAAAATATTTGTGGCCGTGGAAGGTTATGAAGTTGGAATTTATTAGATGGGCGATTGGAGGGATGGGTAAGTTTGTAATGAATTAAGAATATTTATACATTATTTATTTTAATAAAATTTATTTAAAATTAGGGATGTCAATGGGCCGGGTTGGGTTGGATCCATGCCTATGTCCATCTTTTGTATGAGTACCCAAATCCAGCCCATTATCCATTCTAAAAAATGGGACGGGTTTAGGTTTGAGTAGTATTTTTTTCTGGAAAACATTGGATTGCCCCTTTTAACCCATTATATATATATATATATGCAAACTATTCGTTAGAATAAATTAATCAAAATGATAAATAATAATTTAATTATTTAATAATAAATTTATATTCAAAATTTAATAATTCTACCACAAAATTGTCCAAACAAAATAAATAAAATCAGAAGTTCAAAGTCTAAAATTCGCATGATTAAAACATCAAACACTATACGAAAAAATATCTTCCTTCTTCATCACAACCACAATAGTGAAAGGGAAATAATTAAATATGTTATTTTTATTATCTTATTAATTCATAAAAAAAAAATTATAACATTTTAAATCTCATTAATATCTTTATCATTTGCATAAAATGTGTCACATCTTAGTTATATATTTTTGGGGCGAATGATGCGGGTGAGGGTCAAAGTTAGCATTCACACGTCCACCCAAAAATAATTTGGGTTAAGAAATTCAAACATAAATTCCATTAATCCAAAAATTTTTACTATGTAAATCTAACCCATGAGGGTGAGGCTCCTTGAAGGCCCAAACCATGGGTCATTTTGACATCCCTATTTATAATGAGATTAACCATGAGATTTTGTGAGGTTTTAATAACACTACCCTTTAATTTCAATTAAGTCAAATATTAGGAAATACCTATCAATCTAATAGTCGCTAATTAAATCATAATTTTGAAACAATATCTTTAGGCATAGATATGTGAATTGACCATTTTACCCTTATATGGGTTTAAGTAAATCTGTAAATTTGAATGAGGGGATCTATCCTAGTAATTTAAGCTACAACATATGGATTAGAAGTGATGATGGGCGTGTCATGCCTATAAATTCAAGGCCCATCGTGCCGTGCCAAGACTCGCACAGTTTCGTGTTGTGTCGGCCTACGAAATTCGAAGGCCCAAGGCACGACCAATTATATATTGTGTCGTGTATTGGGCCGTGCCATGGGCCGACCCACGTGCTTTATAAAAATATTTTATTTTAATATTTATAAATTATGGTAATTTTGATTTATTATTAATAATTATTATAAAAATATTTTATATGTTATATTTAGTGACATTTTGTATTCATATTAATTAAAAATATATAATCACTATGAAATGTAATAAAATAATGAGACATTGAAATATTAATTGAATTTCAACACTTTTTATTACTTATAAGTTATAATTATAAATTACAAATACAAACTTAGAATTAGTACACATTTTCATTTTCATTAATTTCTAAATTCTTAAAATCTTTAAATATATCTTCAACAATACGATTTTGAAGCTTGAAATGTGTCGTTATTCAACCTTTTATACGATAATGATTTTAACAATGTCGTGCCGTATCAGCCTATAGGCTTTTTTAAGATTCATAGCACAATTCACATATTTTCATGTCGTGCCGTACTGTGCCTAATCGGGATTAGTAGACTTTAACCCCTCTGAGTAAATGCAATTGTCTCCTTCATAATATTTGATGACTCCACGTACGAAAAGGAAAGAAGTTAAAAAAAGATCAGATTCATTTCCAAAAGAAATTTTAGCAAACTGGAAGAAAAAACACTTACTTTTAGGAAAGCTGAGTCCGTTGGACTCCTAATTCAACCAATCCGGTCGATGAAAGAAAGTGCAGGAATAGTTTGGGACATCAAAACCTTCTCTCAAGTGAAAAGTTCCAACACTGGGAAGATTATCAATGAGGAAAGAGGAATCAAACTAGATGTAATGGATTGTATTTCCTTCATATCCAGAGAAATCGTCATCCGAAGTAGAGAATGAATGATCCCCACTGAGAAAGAGCATTTTATTCTCACACTCCTTCGTCACAGCAACCCACTCAAGATTATCTTGATCTAGCTTATAAACGTAGAACTCATTCAGCTGAAGTGTTTCCTTACCCCTAAAAGTACCATATCCCCGGAAAGTACCAATCATAAACAAATTCTCCAATGACTTTATCAAATATTGTGCAGGCCTCATAGCTTGATTTTTCACTGCTCCCGCAACTCCAGTAATCGTCAAAGAGATAGGCTCAACAGTTACCGTAATACCCGAGGTCAACACAAGATAGAATTTGCCACTATCATAAACAATATCCATAACTTTTCCACAAGGAATGTCTAAAAATGTCCATTTTTTGTCCAAGTTTCTCCATACAAGTATAGTTCCATCAAAGTGCAATGCCATAATCGAAAACTCAGTGTCAGACTCATCATTGCACGTGGAAGCAGCTACTTTTCTGAAAAAAATCAAGCAAGGGCTTATCTTCAACGGGAGAAACTAGTTCCAGATGGTAGGCTTTATCGATTTCCTTGACATGATAATCGAGCAGGTTCAGAGATTCTGGTAAGTTATGGGACGACGAGTAGAGTTGCAGACGAGTTTCAAAGAGCGGGTTTTGCAGTCGGACTTTGCCTGAGGGAGACTTCTGGGCTCTAACCAACAAAGTTTGGTTGGTTTCGTGTGTAAGAGTTAAGGACTTGAATGCATAAACCGTGGAGCTGATGACTACAAAGTGCCCACCACTGTGACGATGTTTTTCGAAGGGAAAAGGAATGTTAAGGTCTGAGCGTGGAGGAGAGAAACGTTTGGGAGCTGGGATTGAAAATTTAAACGTATTGCAGACGGCGCGAAAGCGAAGAGTATCGCCGAGTGAGTCAAGACGGTTTGCTATAGAGATGAGTAGATCTTTGGTGAGAGTAGACCAATCTGGGCTAGTGGTGTCCATGATTGACTTAAGCTTAGAAGAAGAATTGGAGGAAGAAGAAGAAGCCATGTTTGGAGAGTTAAATGAACTTGAATGAAGATGAAAAAGATCTTGGAGGGTAATATATTCATAATGTTGGAGTTGTTGACTACTTCAGCATTAATGGATAACGGAGACGTACTCGGGGGTCCTACTATAGGATTTCTTTTAAGTTACTAATTCCTTTTTGGGTTGGGCTTAGGAATAAGAATCCTTGTAAAACTAGGTTTAATCTCTTAAACCTATTATATAAACATTTTTTTTTCTTGTTATGTGTGTTATAGCAATTCATTCATTGTAAACGAGAGAGGTGAGACATATTGCAATAATATTGACTCAGTTGGACGTAGCCCACATTGGGTGAACCAGGATAAATCGAGCGTATTATTTTCTTTATTTACTGTTTGTTTTGTTTTACTATTATATTTTGTTCATGTTGTTGTCTCTATTTCGTTCACATATTATATTTTCGGATTAAAACAATGGCGGTCACAGTTAATTGATGGTTTTAGCCATACAAATCCATGTATGTAAACACTTTTTTATAATTGACGAAGAAAATGTAAAGAAGAAGAAAAGACAAATAAGAAGAAAAAAGAATTTAAGTTTTTAGGTAAATTTCTAGTTTAAGAATTCGTAATTGATGGATTAGGAAAGAAGAATTGATTTAGGACTTTGTTTAAGTTAAAATAAGAGAATGATTTAAATTAGAGGAGTCCTATTAGGACTAGGAATTTGAATCCTAGTAAAATAAGAATGTCTAATAAATAAGGGAGTTAGACCCAATTTAAGGTTAGGAGAGAATGAAGTAAAGGAAAAAGAGAATGTGAAGATACATGTAGTTCTAATGTAAGGGTACTAAGAAGTATTAAACACTATAGGAACATGATATTTGATTGAAGAATTTGAGGATCTAACGATTGCTTATAATGAAGGTTGATGGTGTGATGAAATATTTGTATTGTATTTATATTATTATAATAAAAATTCTCTCATTTATAAACGTAGATAAATTATGTTGAAAGCATGTAAAATATCGTGTAACTTGATGTGTTGCTATTGTGGTGTTGTTTATTTTATGTTTTTTTTTTTAAACGATTTGGAAGAAATCAAGCTTTTGATGAGATTCAATTAAACTTGATAGTGGAAATTCTGACAAGTGAGCAGGATTTGGCTGGTAGCCAAGCAAAGTGAGCCATGAGTGGAGAACCGAATATATTAAAGTGTTGGAAAGCCATTTGCGTCTTCAGAGTTCAGACTCTCTTTAATAATTATGGAGTCTTATTGGTCTATGACTGAAGGATAAGAAAGACGACCTTAACGTTTCTTTGGTGTGCTCGTATGCTTTATTCATATCATCTCCACGACAGATAGTATCTGAAACACTCTTTATCTTCTTCAGTTTTTATTTTATTTTATTTATTGATTTATTAACATGTGATAAACTATATTATTTTGGTTCTCGCGCTCTTTCAACAAAATAAGTTGGACAAAATGGAGAATATATTTTTCATAGCTGTGTTGATGATATTAGCAACAAAATGTGAATTGATCAGGAAATTCTTAGTACAAGAGCATAGCTGGTGAGGTTATTATATATGTCTGCCTCCGCTTCATGCCTTCAAAGCTCAGTAAATCATGGAACAAATCCAGTTTAAATCATAATAACTTACACTATTGCCTTAAACAAATGTGTCTGTCTTGTGTTTGGTCATCCTCTATGTCCCTCGACTACAGGAAAATTGGATTTTGCCAACATATGCCTTACATCGGAAAAGCCAAAAAACACATCGGAATCTATCTATTTTGACAAATAACGGCGTTCGCAAGCTTGTCTTACATTAATCGTTTAATACCTACTCCAACATCAAAAATTAGCATCACGACAATATAACCAACAGCAACGCCAAAATCTCACCCAAGGTCATCGGCATATGTTGAATATTCCAATGACATTGTTCCACGTGGGAATAGATGTTATCAGAAAAACACAATATTTCCGTTATTAATGCATGCCCTCTAAACTCTAGAAGCAAGTGTTAAAACGTATAACTTCACTAATTCTTCGAGACCCTGAAACTACTGGTGTGTTGAAATGTATAACTTCAACTAATCCCTCGAGACCTTAAAATTACTGACATGGTAAGAGTTCTAATGAATACCCCTATTAATAACCGAGGAGATTTCCATAACAAAGTAACAATCCAACATACTTATGTATATGCACTTTCTTTGACATTTCATCAAACACTTTACATGCACATACAAACCCTAAATTGGTTATACTTTCACATATCTGTCAAGTCACCAAAATTGGAGCAAACAACTCCCTAAAGCCAACAATCAACCTAGCCGAATTTCATCTTGCACCTTTCTACATCCATTCTTTCATTTTTCATCCAAAATCCCATCAACTCAATACATACAAATACATCACTTCTCATCACATACCAATAAATCAATTCTCATCACATACTAATAAATTACATCTCATCACATATAATAAATTACTTCTCATCACATATAATAATACTTCTCATGGCTATGAAATTCACATATCAAACAACCTCAATTTTCAATCCATAATTCTCATCATCCAAACACACATACAACATATAAAAAATTTTCTACACAAGTATTTATTCAATCAGAGCTAAAGTTTGATTTACTTACCTTGAATTTGAACAACTCCAACACTATAATCTCTCTTTGGTAGAATTCTCTTTCCTCTTAAACCCTAAGCATATAAAACCATAAGAATTCAAAACTTTAAAATTTGATCTCACATCTTGGTGCAAGAATCTTATCTTTGAATGCTTAGGTAACAATTCAATCAGTAGCAGCACCTACTAATCCACTTCTCGCTCCATAGAGAGATAGAATTGACGTCCCCAGAAATAGAGAAGTGAGGAATAAGAAAAGATTTCAGCCCAAGAAGAATATAAGGGATTGGCAGAATAAACGGCCGAGGACTACTGATTTTTCCCCCATGTCAGAAGTGTGGGAAAACTCATCCGGGGGAGTGTCTCAAAGAGTTGGGCCGGAATGTATGTTATAGATGCCAACAGCCAGGACACATGATGAAAGACTGCAAAGTCCCTCTTGCACCTGCAACACAGACATCCAGAGGTACCAATGTCTGGGTGTTTACAGTAGCACAGAGTGAAGCCAAGGTTGGCCCATCTGCAGTTACCGGGGCGCAAATTCAAGATCTCTTGAGTAATACACCCAAGAGTCCCTATCAAACCACTCGACCATTCAAAAGTAATTGTTTTTAACTTGTTTCCCTTAAACCTCTTATAGAAGTTTTGAATAGCCTAAAGGCTTGTTTCCGCAAGAAATTGCATGCAACATCATAGTAATTAACTTCTGAAATCGAAGTCTTTGGGGTCTAACAATAAACAATACAAGTGTTACACATTGAGACATCAAAAGATCAAGACTCACACTCAAAATTTCTCTGTGAGTGCAATGTTTGACAGAGTCTCAAATTGCTTCACTAGGCCTGGCGTGAAAATTAATAGGATTACTAGGCTGAATATGCTTTAACTCGACAAAGAAAAAAAGAGACTTGACAACACTGAAACCACTTTACGTCACCCATTCACTGCAAATTGAGGCTACTCAACGAAAACTGGCACTCGTTATGGTGCAGTTGGCTCACTTACTTCAAATGCTGTGGCTTACACAGTACCAACCCTATAATTTTTCCTTAAATCTCGGGCAATGTCTCAACTCTTTCAACTGTAGTAAAGCACACCAACTCTGCAAATCTCCTTGAATCTCAGGTAATTTATGAAGTCTTTAACCTGTAGTAAAGCACCACTTGCGGATGAAATTCATGTAGAAATATCTTAGATCTAGGACTTTTTTTTTTTTTTTTTTTTTTTTTTTTTGAAGGACTAGGATATCCAGGCCAATTAATCGTATACCTCAGATAATTTTAAGGGCCTTGAAATTATCAGTTAGATACAAACTCTAGTAACCATCCTTATTAGTAATTGTAAGGACTTGAACTTAAGAGAACATGTTAGATCCTCTTCTTATTTTTTTATTATCAAGAGGACTCGAACTTGAGAGATCATATCAAATCCTTTTTTTACTCTTTCACCATCAAGAGAACTCGAACTTAAGAGACCATATTAGATCATCTTTTACTCTTTTACCATCAAGTCAACTCATGATAATTATCTAGGACTGTGTTGTGATGTCTCTCCATACTACTGTGACCTAAAAGAGAACAGTAGAGTTCGTCTACAAATTCGCAATCAGTATAAGCAGATTTTTCTGTTAGAAATTCAATAATTGAGAGAGAGAGAGAGAAGAGAATGTTGTTAATTTTAACACAAGTAAATGGGAAAACATTCAAGTGCTGGTTGATGGTTACCATACGAATAAAGAAGAAATAGACGAGAGATATATAATTAATATGTGAGAGTGAAGAAGGTAATGGATGTAAGAAAGTAACATCACCTACTCAACAATTAATATCAGTAAAAGAATCCCTTCAATGTGGTTCTGAAATTCATGACAAGTTCTCAAATTTATATAAAGTTGTGAGTAGAGAAAGTAAGGCAATAGAGAATATTTGGTTTTTTAAAAGAAAAATGTAAATGTCCAATCTACTCATGCAAATTACTCCAAAATTGATTGAGGATAATACTAGTCATTTACTTCATATAACCATTTAAAAACTACGACTCAAGTGATAGGAAGAATACTACAATGTGTAGTTATGGCGCACGGTTTCAAGTTCGAATCTCCCTTTCTTCCAAGATTTAAGTAGACTAATCACCTATAGAGATTAGTCGAGGAGTGTGCAACCTGATCTGGACACCCTTTTTTTTTTTTTTTTTTTAAATTAGGAGAATTAAATACAAATTAATATTTTGGCAATAAGGGGCAAAGTGTAATAAACCCTATTCTATTCTAACTTTCCCAAAATAAAAATTTCAAAACCCTAATTTGCCAAAATTCATAGCTCTTGCAAAATGTAATCTCAAATCTCAAATTGCTCTAATGGGAAAATGAACAATGAAATCTTCTTGATAAAATCAACTAGAAATTTGAAAAGGAAGTTGAAGAATGGTTGATTCACTCCTCTAGCAAGCACTCTTGGTTTTTTTTATTTGTTTGCCTACCCAACTTCTTTGTTATATGCAAGTGAGTAGATTCTGTATTTGGGGCTAATTTCTACCATTCAGCCCCTGCGATGGTAACAAGGGACGTTGTTGGGGACGTTGGTGCTTGATAGAGAATAAAGATGGCAGAGGATTGCTGAATGTGGATGGTGAAGTTGATAAGCAGGAGATGACGATGTTGTGATTTTTGAAGAAAAGAATCCTGGTGATGCTGCAGTAGAGAAGACCGCTTAGAAGCATACCCACTACACCCGTTGATCTGGCCGAGTAAGGAATCATTTGTCTTCTCTGTTGTTATCTCATAGGAAAGGAATTAGACTATCCACATACTTCATGCCCTAAAACTCCCCGCTTCCCATCTCCCACATTTGTGTTCATAGCCATTTACTTTGATTATAGTCAAATCCCTAAGTATTCTTGCTTTGCCAAAGAAGATGAGTACTTAACAGGGGAATTGAATCAATGTATGAGCCAAAAATCGTACTAGACCTTACGAGGACTAATAACATCATAAATATGTAACGACCCAGAGTTTTGGCCTAATCCCAATTGAGTCCACGCTTAGAATAACTTGGGAACTGTCTACTCTATGAGTTGGGTCATCCCCCAAATTAAGCTGAACTGGGCCCGACTCATCCGCCTACAGCAGTCTATAACAAGGATCAGAATCCAATTCAAATTTCTCTTTTAACAAGATCCTAGCTTACTCAAAGAGTAAAGCCTGAATTGATAAAGGCAGAAAATCTATTCTCTTTCTGAAAAGAGAGCTCACCTACCAAGTAGGACTCAAAGTCCTATTAGGATTCCAACCCCTTGGGATTCATTATATAAACAGGGGTTGACCCCCTTGATGGCCATTCAGAAATCACCCCTAAGTTCCAATTCCTGTGTTATCAAATCCACCACCTACTTCAACTTCCCTACATCGCTAAAGCTCTCCCCTAGTCGCAAAAATATCCTTCGCATGTCTATCAAGGTTGTCAGTGACTCGCCCCACAAGATTCTGTCCTCACAAATTCAATTGTGAATTTTAGCGTTTACAATCAAAGCTCCCATAATTTCACATATCGCGGTGGAAGAGTTCAAGCACTTCCAGCCATACAAGATTAAGATTCAACATTGCCCAAGAAAGTGGAATATAGCATCATCTCCAAGCTTAAGCACTCCCTGGAAGTTACCATGAGCAAATTTGCTCTCCAAATTCCAAATATGTGACTCTCATCTCCAAATTATTTTATAACACTAGTAAAGAAACAGTTATGCAAGCTTTGACGCAGAGGAGGTCAATAACACATCCTATACCATACAATTTCTTTACTAGTAAAGAGACCTTCGGTTTCAGAGACTTCACGGCCGAGATTGGATTTTTTGAGGAGCAGGTAACTTTAAGGTTCACTTGGTGCTTAACTTGGGTTCCTATTTTTCATCGACTGGACTGTAAGTTTGGTGTGGTCGTCTCCCCTGCAGCATCATCAGGATTCTTTTCTTCAAAAATCATAGCACTGTCAGCTCCTGCTAATCAACTTTACCATCCAGCTTCTATCCAGATTCCGAAATTTCAGTACTAGTTGATCGGATAATAAGATTGTCACGGATAAAACCAAACCCTGCCAAATCCATTTCACCCTTTGCAAGTCAGAGACTTTGGTAATTTGTTGGAAAATTTTAAGACCTATTATAGAGAAGGGATTTTTATATGACCTTGATTTTGCAGGCAGAATTAGCCTTTATCTTGTGTACTGGTAGCTAGGATTAAATATCAATTGCTTAGATGAATCTGTAAAGCCACGTTTTCAGCCATGATAATTGATGCCTGTAGTTTTGAACAGCAAACATCAAAGAATAACATTTCTAATTGTTGGTTCTAAAATAACAATCGATCATAAACGCAGAGTAACATTGAACCTCCACAAATAACAAATCTCAAGTATCTTATATACTCAAGGTGAAAACGGTGTAAACTAAATAAAATAGAGTTAATGACATCAATGAGGTATTATATAATCAAAAAATCCCTTGAAGTCTCTAAAATAACAAAAAAGAAAAAAAAAACCCATCATTATGGACTGTTAATAAACCGTTAAAATTTAGGTTGATAAAAGTTAGTAAATAATACTAAAATTTACGTTAATATGAGTTAGTAAATAATACTAAATTATCCACTTATCATATACATTTAAAACTTAAGGGAAGGATTTACGTAGTGGAGCCAAAAAAGTTCCGTATTTGGATCCAAAAACAACTACTATTTTCAAAACACAAAAGGGAGGGCAAAATAATTAATTTTCAAAAATGTTAACGCTAGAAGGAGGGCTTGAACCTCCGACCTTGTGGTTAACAGCCACACGCTCTAACCAACTGAGCTATTCCAGCATTCTTGCACACTTGCATACTTTAATTTTATTTAATTCTTTAACTTGCCGGATTCTCAGCATACACAAACATCTTCAATAAGATTTTGAAGATTTCATGTTCATACAAAAAGGACCATCAAGCAAACAGCTGACCTGAAATGATTCAAATCATTTGTAAATAGAGCAAATCAAATTTTATGCTACCATAAATTGCAAGCAAATGCAAAATTTTAGGCCAAACCAAACAGCTAAACAAAGTTACATGGCCCTATTCTTTCTGCATACTACAATAAGAATGGCCAGGGATAAATCAATTCACAGCAAACATAGAATTAATTTACTTTTCAAAGCAATCGAGATGCAGATCAATGTGTTCAAGTCATCAAAAGAAATACAGATCAATGTGTTCAAGTCATTGGAAGGGTATGAATTTGCCTCGAGACAGCGCTCTGTCAAAAATTTCGAAACTAGGTGAGTACAACATTGCCAAGAAATTCAACATGGAATTGCAGTCATTCAAGCAGGCAAGAACTGAATAAATAGATCACAAATTTGCTTAGCTTGATAAATTAATACTCTTTTCAGAGCAATCGAGATACAGAGCATTACATATAAAGCAACAGTTGCACTGATTCCGCATGGAGACAAGCTGAATTACTACTCTAGCCAAATTGGTCTAGGCAAAAAGATGTTAGAATAGCCTGGAAAAACAGAGAGACCTCCAACTATTCCATCCTTTCAAGTGACCACAAGGCAGCACCCAGGTCGGTGGGCGGTGGCGTCCAGAAGATTTTAAATTGTAATACACCAATAGCATGACGGAACCATTGTTCAAGCCTCTTTTCTGTGAGGATGGATGTCCTGAAAAGTCCAGACAATTAAACCAATAAACTTACCAGGAGAAAAACAAAAGATATGAAGTTCGGAAACCTAATCCCATATAATCAAAAGTTCAAAAACCAGTGTCAAAAATTTCCAAATTGCCAAGAAATTCACCATGCAATCTCAGTAATCAAGCCGAAAAGAACCGAATAATAGATCACAAGTTTGCTTAGCCTGATAAATTAATACACTTTCCAGAGCAACCGAGTTATAAAAAAACATTACACATAAGACTGAGACAAAGTGCTCCTTACGTTTGGAATTAAATTTTAAGCAACAGTTGAAACAATTCGGCAGGGAGACAAGGTGCTCCTTACGTTTGGAATTAAATTTTAAGCAACAGTTGAAACAATTCGGCAGGGAGACAAGGTGAATCACTTCTCCACCCAAGTTGGTCTAGGCCAAAAGATGTTAGAATAGCCTGGAAAAGCAGAGAGACCTCCAACTGTTCCATCCTTCAAGTCAATAATCCCACCATCGGTTCCAGGGTGACAATCAGTAACTTCAAAGGGACCACCTTTGAAATAAACACAATTCCCTTTACATCCTGGGAACTCTTCAGCAGAAAGAGAGAATGAAGCATCATCACCAACAAAAAACACTGAATCCTCCAATCCATCCATCACCTCAACCCATTCACGTTTCTCTTCGTCAAGCTTATAAACCTTGAATTCAATTGGATCAATTTGGAACGGCCAGCTCTTAATAATCAAAAACAAATCCTGGGAGGACTTTATTAAGTACGACCAAACCCATACACTTTCAATCTGCAGTGGACCAGCAACCGGAGAAACCGTCATAGACTTAGAGTCCACAGTTACAGTCACACCAGTGGACATCAAAGCAAAGAACTTTTCATTATGATAAATTACATCAAGAAAATTATCATAACCCATGTCTATTCTAGTCCATTTCTTGTCTACATTTCTCCACACCAGCGCAATTCCTTGAAATATCGTCATAACGGCGAACCCATCATCACTCTCATCACGGCATGAAGACACAACCGCCTTTCTGAAAACAACAGGCTTCCTTCTAGTAATACCTTTACCTTGATAAACTTGTTCAAGTCTATA